TCAAAATCAATGCCTTCTTCTTGATTGTAGCCTTTAGCTACGAGCCTAGCTTTGTTTCTAGTGATTATTCCATTTTCATCAAGTTTGTTACGGAACACCCATTTCGTACCAATAATCGTACGATCATCGGGCCTTGGCACCAATTCCCAAACGTCATTCCGTTTGAATTGGTTTAGCTCCTCTTGCATAGCCAAGGTCCAATGTTCATCGTTTATTGCTTCGGAAATGGTTGTAGGTTCAATTTGAGAAACAAAAGCCATGTGACCTACGGTGTCCCTAAGAGAATTACAAGTACTTACCCCGCGGTTGATGCTGCCGATTACCTGGTCAAGTGGATGGTTCTTGTGCGTTCTCCAAGTGATGGGAAGCTCGGTTTTCTCTTGTTCCTGGGCTTCCTCGTGTTCTTCTTCGTCCGCTTGATCCTCATTTTCGACCATCACTTGAGGTGTTTCCTCAGGTTGTGGTTGCGGGTTGGTGTATAATGGCGTGTCTTCCTCATCGTCTTCAATGTGCATTCTTTCAAGTGAGTCTGCAAGATCATCACAAAAAGCCTTTCTCGCCAAGCGAGTATTATCTTCGGAAAACACAACATGAGGGGACTCCTCAATAGTCAAAGTACGTTTATTAAACACTCTATAGGCCTTGCTACAAAGTGAATAACCGAGAAAAATCCCTTCGTCCGACTTGGCATCAAATTTTCCCAAGTTATCTTTGCCGTTATTATGAATAAAACATTTGGAACCAAAGACTCGAAGATGGGAAAGGTTTGGATTTCTCCCTTTGTATAGTTCATAGGGCGTTTTCATGAGTATCGGTCGAATGACGGCTCGATTTAACACGTAGCTCGCGGTACTCACGGCATCCGCCCAAAAATACTTAGGGATTTTTGCTTCATTGATCATAGTTCTAGCCATCTCTTCGAGACATCTATTTTTACGTTCCACCACTCCATTTTGTTGTGCTGTACGTGGGGCTGAGAAGTTATGATCAATGCCAAGTTCGTCACACAAATCTGAAAACAGATTTCGTTCGAACTCTCCCCCATGGTCGCTTCTTATGGCTACTATGGTTGTGTCTTTTTCATTTTGAACTTTCTTTACAAAATTTTTGAAGAAATGAAATGCTTCACTTTTATGAGTAAGAAACAAGGTCCATGTAAACCTAGAGTAGTCATCGACAATCACAAACGCAAAGTAGTTGCCACCAAAACTTTTCGTTTTAGAAGGACCAAAGAGATCCATGTGCAAAAGTTGAAGCGGTCTAGACGTTGAAACAACGTTTTTAGACTTAAACGAAGCCCGAACTTGCTTCCCCTTTTGACACGCATCACATATGGTGTCTTTTTCAAACTTAAGTTTTGGAATGCAAATTACTAAGTCTTGTGAAACCAATTTATTCAAAAGGTTCATGTTCATATGAGCTACCCTTCGGTGCCATAACCAAGTGTCTTCCTCTTTACTCATGAGACTCTTAGCAAAGCCGGAGGAAGATTTGTCTAAGTTAACCATATAAATATTATCGATTCTATCACCACGTAGAATGACCTTATTGTCACTAAGGTGTTCTACCGTGCATGATTTTGAATCGAAGGTCACACAGTTTCCCTTGTCACATAATTGACTTATGCTCAAGAGATTGTGTTTAAGACCTTTAACAAGCAAGACATTATCTATAGAGGAATTTTCAGATTTACCTACTGAACCAACGCCAATGATCTTTCCCTTGCTGTTATCTCCAAAAACTACGTTTCCTCCTTTAGCGGGTTTGATTTGGAGAAACTTGGATGCATCCCCGGTCATGTGCTTGGAGCATTCGCTGTCAAGGTACCAAAGTACACTTGATGCCTTCAAGCACACCTCTTGAACGTCGTTGGTTTGATCTTCGTGCGCCATGAGGCAGAGGTTGGCGGCTTCCTCCTCTTCTTGATCAGTTGACTCGTCGCCAGAGTCACCACCCCATGAGATATAGGCTCGTTGCTTTTTGAAGCCAGGTTTGTCCTTGCCGCTTTTGCCTTTTGGACATCTTGGCTTGATGTGGCCTATCTCGCCACAGCCATAGCACTTCGGGGGACCGTCGTGCTTTCTTCCTTTCTGTTCAAATTCCTTCTTCATGAATTTGTGGAATTTCTTGATGACGAGTCCGAACTCGTTGTCATCATCACTTGAGACTTCTTCCATAGTCTCTTTGGTTGCTTTGAGAGCTATTCCTTTCTTCTTTTGTTCATCCAAAGATGGGGTTAGAATAGTAGATTCATAAGTTTTGAGGTTACCTCTTAGCTCGTCGATGGTGACATTTGAGACTCCAATGGATTCATAGATTGCATCGGCTTTTGACCTCCATTCGGGTGTGAGACTCCGCAGGATTTTCCTCACGAGATCCTTGTTGGTGTAAGTCTTTTTGAGAGCATGAAGATCGTTGATGATCTTTGAGAACCGGTCGAACATGTCATTGATTTTCTCACCTTCTTTCATTCGGAACATTTCGTACTCTTGGGTGAGAAAATCGATCTTGGCTTCACGAACTTGATCGGTACCTTCGTACGTCACCTCAAGCTTGTCCCACATCTCCTTGGCGGTTGTGCAGCAGGAGATTTTCCGGTAGTCATCGGGGTTAACCGCACAGTAAAGCATGTTGATATCTTTTGCGTAGTTTTCAACCTTCTTGATGTCTTCAGCATCAAACTCATCCTCGGTTTTTGGGACTGTGGTTTCTCCTACTTTCTTCATAGGGATTTGCTCTCCGTTTTTGATGACCAACCATAATTGGAAGTTGGTGGAACGGATATAAATTCTCATCCGTTCCTTCCAATAGGAGTAGTTGGTGTCATCAAAGAGTGGTGACCTAGAAGTTGATTGACCTTCTCCAATTCCTGCATAGAGATTTCTAGAAGAAGAGCCCATGATCGCATTACTCTCAAACGGATAAATTTGGACGCGAGTTAGGCTCTGATACCAATTGTTAGAATAATAGACCAACGCTAGAGGGGGGGTGAATAGCGTTTGATCAAAAAAATCACAGGAATAAAATTGAATAAACGAGAAGTAAAGAGAAGAGTAAAAGGCACACTGATTTTACCCTGGTTCACCATAACTTGTGGCTAATCCAGCCTCCCGAGAGACTCTCTCGAGCTACACTACTATCTCGTTAAGCTTAACGGTGCTTAACAAACCCGTACAACTTGAGAGTTCGAGTCACACGAACCTCAACAATTCTTCGATGGAAACAACCCTTCCTTCGAACAACAAGAGAAATACTTTCTCTTATCAAGTGTTTAAGAACACAAAAAAAAACTCTCAAGAACAATACTCTCTTTTAGAGTGGATAATGAGTAACTAAGTACGCTCAAGAACGCAACACAAGCTTCACAAAAATGGCTCTCAAAAAGCTATGAGAAAGTGATCTTACTAAACGTTACTTTCTCATCTTCAACACTTCAATACACTACTAATTTTGTCTGGGTTTGTGGGGTAAAATATCACCTTTTTATCCGAGGTTGCCTGGTTTTGTAAATTCCCCACTAACCGTGTTAAACACCCTAAACTAATTTAAACCTAGACGACTTTAAGTGGGTCTGTCGCGACAGGATCCGAAGGACATCGTTGTTCTAGGCTTGGTTTTTAAAAATTTGGAAGCAACGGTCATGCCAACAGCGATGTCTAATACCCCTACATCGCTGTTTTGGCTGTTGACTTCCAAACAAGGAAAGTTTTAGCCTTAAATTTCTTCCAACGGTCAGGTCCCTACATCGATGTTCATTACTTGAACATCGATGTTTAGGTCTGACTTTTGAAGATGGAAGTTTGGCCTGACAGCGCTGTTGCTGGGTCAACATCGCTGTCCAAAAACTTTCTGCCAATGCACTGTATTTTTGGCTTAGGTTGGACAGCGCTGTAGGGAACCCTACATCGCTGTTCCAGAAGTTTCTGGAAATCCAACCTTGGCTCAACAGCGATGTCTAACATCCAACATCGCTGTTGGAAGACTTAACGCCAAACCATGGTTTTCAGCCACCCAAGCCAGACAGCGCTGTTGGTTTCACCAACATCGCTGTTGGGCTGGTTTAGCGAGACCCATGGTTGGTTTAGTCAGCCATTAGCCGATGTCAAAAATGTAAGTTCTCCAAAATAAAAACCAAGTACTGAAAATGTTTGTTTATTGTATTTTGCTAAGAAATCAAGTAAAACATTTTGAAAACCACGTCATTTAGTTGAAAACCACGGCTAGCCAAGTTTACGCCGTTTCGCATGGTTTTCACTAAACGACCAAAAACAAAAGGTGGTTTTTGAAGCGTTTTTAATGGAGAACTATTTAAACATGCCCAGAAGTAAAAGCTAATCATTAAAAGTTGAAAACCACTTGGTTGGTTTGGACGCCAAAAACCAATGCCGATAACCGAAAGCCGAACGCCAGTTTCCGAAGACCGAACGCCGGATGGCTTGGTTTTTGGTTTGGGCGAACTCCAAGTGTTTTTAGGCAGTTTAAAACTTAAGAGAAACATTTTTGAATATGCAAAAGATATTTGATGAGAGAAGCCTAGAGAGCCAAGATTTGAAAGTTTGTGCCGGTCTTGTTCACATTAAGATCGTCTCAATAGAATTCTAATTCTTCGTTCTTGATTCTTGGTTCTTGGTTCTCAAATCATCATTCCATGTTCCTTCGCCTTGGTTTTGCTCACTTTAACCTTGTTATTGTCACGGCGGTTTGGCATTATCAAAACCTATCATAAAACGAACACAGTTTAGTACGACGTAGGCGTACACCCGTGTTCCAACACAATGGTGCTTAATTGCGTAACACCGCGCCATATTACATTGGTTTCTTAAATTGCCTGAAATGAACAAAGCCTGAAAATAAGAGAAACATATTTCATTACTTCAAAATCATCATATGCCATACAATACTTTCTCACACCAGCACGAAATTTAGGCGTTTGAGGCAATGAAAGAAACCAAATCGCCATGGTTGCTTCTGTTGGAACACGGGTTTACGCCTATGTCGTACTAAGCCGTGTTCGTCTTATGACAAATTTTGATAATGCCAAACCGCCGTGACCATTATAAGGCTAAAGTGAGAAAAACCAAGGCGAAGGAACATGGCATGATGATTTGAGAACCAAGAACCAAGAATCAAGAACGAAGAATTAGAATTGTATTGAGTCGGTCTTAATGTGATCAAGACCGGCACAACTTTCAAATCTTGGCTCTCTAGGCTTCTCTCATCAAAATATCTTTTGCATATTCAAAAATGTTTTTCTTAAGTGTTAAACTGCCTAAAAACACTTGGAGTTCGCCCAAACCAAAAACCAAGCCATCCGGCGTTCGGTCTTCGGAAACCGGCGTTCGGCTTTCGGTTATCGGCATTGGTTTTTGGCGTCCGAACCAACCAAGTGGTTTTCAACTCTTAATGATTAGTTTTTACTTTTGGGCATTTTTAAATAGTTCTCCAACAAAAACGCTTCAAAAACCACCTTTCGTTTTTGGTCGTTTAGTGAAAACCATGCGAAACGGCATAAACTTGGCTAGCCGTGGTTTTCAACTAAATGACGTGGTTTTGAAAATGTTTAACTTGATTTCTTAGCAAAATACAATAAAAAAACATTTTCAATACTTGGTTTTTATTTTGGAGAACTTACATTTTTGATATCGGCTAACGTCTGACTAAACCAACCATGGGTCTGGCTAAACCAGCCCAACAGCGATGTTGGTGAAACCAACAGCGCTGTCTGGCATGGGTGGCTGAAAACCATGGTTTGGCGTTAAGTCTTCCAACAGCGATGTTGGATGTTAGACATCGCTGTTGAGCCAAGGTTGGATTTCTAGAAACTTCTGGAACAGCGATGTAGGCTTACCTACAGCGCTGTCCAACCTAAGCCAAAAATACAGTGCATTGGCAGAAAGTTTTTGGACAGCGATGTTGACCCAGCAACAGCGCTATCAGGCCAAACTTCCATCTTCAAAAGTCAGACCTAAACATCGATGTTCAAGCAATGAACATCGATGTAGGGACCTGACCGTTGGAAGAAATTTAAGGCTAAAACTTTCCTTGTTTGGAAGTCAACAGCCAAAACAGCGATGTAGGGGTATTGGACATCGCTGTTGGCATGACCGTTGCTTCCCAATTTTTAAAAAACCAAGCCTAGAACAGCGATGTCCAATCCTAGGACAGCGCTGTCTGGGTGAATTTGAGCAGATCCAAATTTAATCAAATCTCACAAATTGTGCCAATCACCCCTTAAATGTTTTGGTCCGTTGGAGCCTATTTTTCCACTATAAAATGGGGTGTTTGGGTCTGTTTTAATCATCACATAACTTCAGAACTTCTACTCTTTCATTGCAAATCATTCATCACTTTTTCATAGCTTTTTGAGAGCCATTTTTGTGAAGCTTGTGTTGCGTTCTTGAGCGTTCTTAGTTACTCATTATCCACTCTAAGAGAGAGTATTGTTCTTGAGTGTTTTTAGTGTTCTTAGACACTTGACAAGAGAAAGTACTTCTCTTGTTGTTCGAAGGAAGGGTTGTTTCCTTCGAAGATCTGTTGAGGTTCGTGTGACTCGAAATCTCAAGTTGTACGGGTTTGTTAAGCACCGTTAAGCTTAACGAGATAGTAGTTTAGCTCGAGAGAGTCTCTCGAGAGGCTGGATTAGCCACAAGTTGTGGTGAACCAGGGTAAAATCGGTGTGCCTCTTACTCGTCTCTTTACTTCTCGTTTAATTCATTTTTATTCCTGCGATTTTTGATCAAACGCTATTCACCCCCCCTCTAGCGTTGGTCTTTTATTCTAACAATTGGTATCAGAGCCTAACTCGCGTCCAAACTTAACCGTTTGAGAGTAAAGCGATCATGGCCTCTTCTTCTAGAAATCTCTATGCAGGAATTGGTGAAGGTCAATCCACTTCTAGGCCACCACTCTTTGATGGCACCAACTATTCCTATTGGAAGGAACGGATGAGAATCTATATCCGTTCCACCAACTTCCAATTATGGTTGGTCATCAAAAACGGAGAGGAAATCCCAATGAAGAAAGTAGGAGAAACCACGGTTCCAAAAACCGAGGACGAATTTGATGCCGAGGACATCAAGAAGATTGAAAACTATGCAAAGGCCATCAATATGCTATATTGCGCGGTTTACCCCAATGACTACCGAAAGATCTCCTGTTGCACAACCGCCAAGGAGATGTGGGACAAGCTTGAGGTGACGTACGAAGGTACCGATCAAGTTCGCGAAGCAAAGATCGACTTTCTCACCCAAGAGTACAAAATGTTCCGGATGAAAGAAGGTGAGAAAATTGATGACATGTTCGACCGGTTCTCAAAGATCATCAACGATCTTCATGCTCTCAAAAAGACTTACACCAACAAGGATCTCGTGAGGAAAATCCTGCGCAGCCTCACACCCGAATGGAGGTCTAAAGCCGATGCAATCTATGAATCCATTGGAGTCTCCAACGTCACCATCGACGGGCTAAGAGGTAACCTTAAAACCTATGAATCTACTATTCTAACCCCGTCTTTGGATGAACAAAAGAAAAAGGGGATAGCTCTCAAAGCTACCAAGGAACCGGTGGAAGAGGCTTCAAGCGATGACGACAATGAATTCGGGCTCGTCATCAAGAAGTTCCACAAGTTCATGAAGAAGGAATTTGAGCGGAAGGGAAGGAAGCACGACGGTCCTCCCAAGTGTTACGGCTGTGGCGAGATTGGCCACATCAAGCCAAGGTGTCCAAAGGCCAAACACGGCAAGGATAAGCCTGGCTTCAAGAAGCAAAGGGCCTACATCTCTTGGGGTGGCGATTCCTGCGACAAATCAACCGACCAAGAGGAGGACGAAGCTGCAAATCTCTGCCTCATGGCGCACGAAGATCAAAGCGACGACGTCCAAGAGGTATGTAACATTTCTTCCGGCTCTTATACTTTTGAAGAAATGCAAGAAGCACTTCATGAACTTTATGAAGAATTTATTAGCGCCTCTAAAACAAATAAATCTTTGAAGAAACGTCTTTCTACACTTGAAAACGATTTTGAAAAATTGGAGAAAGAAAATGAAATACTTAAACAAGAAAACAAATTTTTTGGAAAAAGAAGCGCTGACAAACCAGAAAGTTCTTCAAGTGAATGTGGGTCTTGCAAGGCTTTAAAAGAGCAAGTCGCTAAACTTGAGAGCACGGTCAAGAAATTTAATACTCCTCACAAAGATTTAAATTTACTTCTTGACACTATGCATTTCTCTAAGGAAGGAATAGGTTTTGATAAAAATAAAGCTAAAGATAGTGTTGAGCCACCACCTAGACAATCATCTAAGGTTCAACATAAGAAACCTAAAAATCAAGATAATAGAAAACCTAGTCAACCTAAGGACACTAGACAACCTAGACTAAAACCTAGGAATGAAAATGGTCATGGTAGACAACCTAAGAGAAATGATTTTGTGCATAAAAATGAATTTTCTCAAATTAGAAGAAATAATGCTAGAGCACCTAGAAAAGGCTAGTTTCAAAATTTCCAAAAACCATCATTTTCACAAAATAGGAACAAAATGGTTAAGCCTTCGAACTATTATGAACCTAGGCATATGTACAACCCCAACGTAGTTTGCCATTATTGCAATAGGATAGGCCATATTGCTCCCGTTTGTTACACTAGGCATAGGCATCTATCACAAAATCAAGCACACTACCATCACACACCTAACACACGAGGACCCAACGTAAATTGGGTACCTAAAACTCATTGATGTG